AAGTTACTTACTTCCGGGTTCGGCGACCAACCGGATCGCAGGGACCGGTGCGAACCGGTTGAAACCCAGCCCTGCTGGGAATTATGGGAGTTGGAATGCAACCCAACTGGAGACCAAAGATTGGGAAAGGCTGTTCTTAATATTTAGTTGTGTCAAATACTGTGCATACTGAAATTGAAATAAATAATAAAGTGTATGCATTTCCTTATGTACTTTGATTCAGCAACTGAGAAGCAACTTCCCTCCTGGCTCACAGTAAATCTGTAACAACCTATTTATAAATCTTGGAATTGGGAAAGAGACCCAGTACTGAAAGTCTATATATATATATATATATATATATATATATATATGAAATAAGAATAAGTGAACCTTTGAAGTTCTCAGGTTAGAGAGACAAATTGTGGTATGTCGTGCACACAGGCTACAGGTTTCATGACTCAAGTGCCATAATTCTAAGAGGTCTCTCTAATTTGAGATTTTAAAATAAGGAAGAGGTATGCTCATTCCTTAGTTTATACCTCCTTTCCTACAGGCCAGTGGTGGGTTCCGGATCCTGTCGCAACCAGTACGCTGCAACGGGATCGGGCATCCACCACGTGCACACCTGCTGCACACGTATGCGCACCCACCACCCGTGGTGCTCCAGCTGCTTGGCGGAGCATCACACGGGGGCCGTGCGCTGCATGCGCATGCGCAAATGGTTCAGTTGGGTCAAATACAGGTCAGGAACACAGGCAGGTGGGTGAGCCCTCCGAAGCACTGTACCGCAACGGTGCCTGCTGCTTCCAGCAGGCACTGGTACGCCCGTACCGGGGCGTACTGCCTGCAACCCACCACAGCTACAGGCCATAGTGAGGGCACTATAGTTCACAAAGCAGAATGCACTACATAACAGTGAACAAAATCAACAGCCTAAGAGTTTTGATTCTTGCTAAAAAAAGAAGTTGAACTGATTGAAGTTCCAAAATTGATGAGTTCCAATAACAATGAAACCAGTCATGCACTGCCTCCTGTTGGTCAGTCAGTGGTAAAACTTCCACAGGCATATACTGTACAAAATACTTTGCCGTTGCATCTTCTAGTCTGTAAATTTTGCTCTTGCATAATTATTTAAATGATTCGGGTAGTCTTTGACGTATGACCATTCCTTTAACAATACTTTAAAGTTAGTTACTTGGAAAAAAATGATGCACTTATACTTGCACTTATTACTGCTGTACCTGATCACAGCCACTTGATTGCAATTTGAGTACTTGAGAACTACCGTATTCTTCGGAGTATAAGATGCACCTTTTTCCTCCAAAAAAAGAGGGTGAAAATCTGGGTGCATCTTAAACACTGAATACAACATTTATGGCCTCCCGGAACCCCGCCCCCTTTGCAAAAATGGACATGCGGAGGGTTTGGGGGGGCTCCAAAGTGCTCCTGGGGGCTGGGGAGGGCAAAAACAAGTGAAAAATGGGCGGGAGTTTTTGTTCATTTTTGCCCCCCAAGCCCCAAGAAGCACTCTACAAGCCTCCCAAAGCCTATGCATGCCCTTTTTTTTTTTTTTTGCAAAAAATGAGGTGTTTTTTGCTCCTTTTTGTTCCCCCTCCCCCAGCCTCCAGGAGCACTTTGCAGGCCTTTCAAACTCTCTGCATGCCCCATTTTAAACAAAAAATGGGGGTTTGGGAGGCCTGCAGAGTGCAAAAACTTTTTTTCATTTACCTCTTCAAAATCTTTGGTGCGTCTTATACCCCGCTGCATCTTATAGTCCAGAAAATACGGTACTTGCATTTACAACCAGTTGCAGTGCCCTGCAGTCATGTGCTCATTATTTGCAACCTTTTTTTGCCAATTTCTAGCAAATAATAATAATATTAATTGGAGAAGCTGGATTTTAATTACTCTGATGCTTGGCTTAATAATTGTCATAAAAAATGTCATAAAAT